CTACATAATTACGTACCCATTACCACATCAAACAAATAGAATCACACATATAATATCATTCGTCAATGTTCTGTCGAAAAAAAAAGTTACATCATTATTTTTAAGATCAACGAAATTTCTGTTAACATTGGAATCACAGGTATTCAAGTTATAATTAAAAATTTAATTTAGTAAAACTTTAACACTTACACATATATAAATTGTATTATAGAATTGGAAATTGTGATTTCTCTGTCTACCTATGTCTATAAATTGTATACATCAAATTTGATGTATACACATCATAATATGAGAAAATATAAGAATTTTAGACACTAATAAATCAGAGACAACACATTACGGAGATCACATACGCCGACAATATAATGGACAGAAAATCTCTTTGTGTAAGATTATATCATTGACATATTAATTTAGTTATCGATTATTTTATTCACTGAAAAGAACTACATTTATGGAAATGTTTGAATCCATTTCATGATTGTATTATATCAAATATCAGAAAATATAAAGTAGCTAGGCTATAATAACTTTGATTTTTTATTCTATTGAATTTTATTCAACATAGCCAATATTACATTGTAATAATAAAATTAAGTAAATAATATTGGGTTTTATTTTGATTTGATAAAATTTAACTTGGCGTCAGTTATTGAACAAAAAGTAAAAAATGCGCTAAAAATATACGTATTTCTCGAATAAAACCTAAGTGTCTAACCCAATTAATAATAATTTTAATTCTTTTCCAAGGATATTTTTATTGTAGATCTTCTTCCTAAAACCTAAATAAAATAGCAGCTTTAATTCCCTGTCAAAAATTATTACTTCTCAAAGAAGACTAATGTATATAGACAAATTAAAACTCAGATGCTACAGTATAACTAATTAAGTTAAATTCTATCAAATTAAAAAATAAAACCCAAGTGGTACTATTTTTGTTATTTACTTAATTCTAATGTGCATCATTCGTAAAAGATTTAATATCAACAACTGGCGCCAAATTAAATCTGCCTTATGTTGAACATTGGGTCGACATCATAACTAGCAAACTGACTGTCCTTAATCAAACACAGCGCGATGTCGGCCTAGGCTACGTTAATCGACTTTTATTTGATAACTCTTGGCCATTGTCGCACAAGCGTTGGCAATATGTTGGCAACTGATTGTTACGCCAATCACGGCGCGATGTCGGCACATCTGAAGACAACTGTAGACCATTGTCGGCCAGTGTTAAGTCAACGTTAGCAATATGTTGGCAACTAATTGTTACATCAATCATAGCGCAACATTGGGCAAGCTATTTTAATCGACACTTACATAATGACGCTCGATCCAATATTGGCAACATATTGGTAATTTTTACACCAATTTTTATACCAATCATGACGCGACAGTGGGCCAACAATCAATTGCCAACATGTTGCCAACGTTGTCCCAATGCTGGCCTGACGATGACCTAACGTTGTCTTTAGATAAAAATCGGCTAACATAGCTTGATCCAACGTCACGCTATAATTAACATGACAACCTACAGTTGCCGACATACTGCCAATGTTGGCCCAACATTGACCTGACGGTGACTTGAAATTGTCTTCATATAAGTAGACTAACATAGGCTAGGCCAACATCGCGATGTGCTAGATGTGACAATCGGTTTTTGATACATTACGTTGATCTGATATTGTAATAATAATCGTTATCGCGTAAGAGTCGACTAACATAACTTAAGCCGACATTGTGCTGTCTTTGATTAATTATAGTCAATTTGCCATGATATCGTCAATATCGGCCTAAAGTTTAACATCGGGCAAAAGTCGGCAAACTTTACCTAGGCATATCTATAGTCACTCAAACTGCGCGCTGGATTGGTTTTCCGGATTTAATTAAACTCAATGAAATTACTATAATAATATTACAAATTAAATTAAATTGACAAGCAAATTTTAATAATTTGATGCTCAGTCCGGTGTTATATTAGAAAGAGGTTAATGTGTTGAAAAACTGTAATAAATGTAAATCTAAATAAAATTTTTTAATTTAATTTAGGTGGAATTATAAGCGTTTTAATGATTGTATTGAAAGTCCGATAGTTATCGGTGCGCAATCATATCTGAAATAAATTGATTTATTAAAAATTATGTATTGTTGAGGTAATATATATTGCGTTATTCGAAATACACATAACTTCCACCGTAGTGGCATTTCCTATCATATTTTATGTATTCATATATATTGCCATTTCTTATATCTTAATGGTTATTTAATTTGGTATAGAAATTAACTTGACGCCAGTTGTTAATATCTTTTATACAAATAATACATATCATTAGAGTTAAGTAAATAACAAAGATAGTACCATTTGTGTTTAACTTTTTAATTTGATAGAATTTAACTTGGTATGTTAAAGAGTGTTAAAACTGTAGTTTTTGGATTTTAATTTTTCATTTGGTATATTAGTTTTTTTTGAAGAGTAATAATTTTCGACAGGGAATTAAAGCTGCCATTACATAGACTGGAATAAAAAGACCTGCAATAAGAATATTCTTGAAGAAAAATTACTATGGTCGTTACCACAACGACCATCGCGCTCTTGCTCGGCTATATATATATATGGATCTAATCGCGCGCAGCATCGCGCGTAGCATATTACAAACAAACCAAGCAACTTGTCACTAGGGAAGTACGATGCGAAAAACGCTGCGCATCACTAAATCCAGTAGTGGCAAGAATGTTGTAGAAACGGTCGTTGTAGTAACGTAAGATTAGATTTGATTGTCGTTAAGCAAGGCATAATGTGCGAGTCGAAGTGTGTGACATATATCTTTGTAATTCTTTTATTTATTAAATTGTATTAAGCTATCGGAAAAATTTCATATGATAATTTATATTCTACATTAATTAACTGATGCTTTCTCATAACATTCACCAAATATTATTGCCACACCATGTACATACCAGATTCTTCTGTCTCTAATTTCTATATGTTATTGTACATGTTTGGTATAATAGCCTTTAGATTATTATATGACCTCCAGATAATTATAATATGCTAAATTGATCAAAGCAATAATTATACAACATATATTAAAATTTTTTTCTCTTACAAGAGAAGTTTCACAACTGTCCGGAACAGATTTGATTCTCCATGAAATACCAGCTTGATCAAAAAGTTTCCGGAAGAGACCATCAGGTGATGCTCTGAGTCAGCTGATTTGAGTTCTTTTTTTTTGGCTAGGTTGCCACATCTATCATTGACATTTCCATCAAATTTTATCGCCATAGCTTGACATTTGTAAAAATTACGCCGTCTTGAATATATCTACCTCTGCGCGTGTTTTCGATTTTTTACAGTTTTAAAAATGGAGTTGAATTTGCAACAACGAGTTTGTATTAAATTTTGCGTTAAAAATGGATTCAATGGTGCGAAAACCTTGGAAATGTTGGGAAACTGTTTCGGCAGTGATGTTCTAAAGAAAACAACCGTTTACGAGTGGCATGAACGCTTCAGAAGTGGTCGTGAATCCGTCGAGGATAACGAACGCAGTGGCAGGCCGTCGACATCGAAAACCGACGAAAACATCAATAAAGTAAGAGAAATGTTGGCCAATAACCGCAAATTAACTATCAGAAAGCTGGCAGAGGACTTAAACATTGCTTATGGATCCGTTCAGGACATTGTAGTTAATGATTTGGGTTTGCGTCGTGTTGCTGCAAAGTTGGTCCCGAAGGAACTGAATTTCATGCAAAAAAGGGACCGCGTTGACATCGCCAAAGACATGATTTCCAAGACTGAATCCGACCCAACATTCATCAAACGCATCATTACTGGAGACGAGACGTGGGTTTATGAGTACGACACGCAATCCAGACATCAGGCGAGTGAATGGAGAGCTCCAAATGAGCCAAGACCAAAAAAACCACGTCGTTTTCAGTCGAAAAAGAAAGCGATGCTCACGGTTTTCATGGATTACAACGGTATTGTACATCACGAATTTTTGTCAGAAGGTCAGACAGTTAATAAGGAGTATTATTTGGGCGTTATGAGACGTTTGCGTGAAGCAATTCGCCAAAAAAGAAAGGATTTGTGGGTAAACAACTCGTGGATTTTGCACCATGATAACACACCGTCGCACAGTGCCATCATTATCCGTGAATTTTTGATCAAGAACAAAACGAATACCATCCAACAGCCATCGAATTCACCCGATATGACTCCCTGCGATTTTTTTTCTGTTCGATCGAGCCAAAAAAAACTGCGGGGAACGCGTTTTAACAGCCGAAAGGAGATAATGGAAAAATCGAAGACGGCTCTGATGGCTATACCAATAATAGAGTTCCAGAAATGTTTCGAGAGCTGGATCAAGCGCTGGCATAAGTGCGTTGCAGTCGCTGGAGAGTACTTTGAAGGGGACAATATCACTTTTGATGAATAAACTTGTATTTTGAATTTTCTGAATGAATTCCGGAAACTTTTTGATCAAGCTAGTATGTTGTTAAACACGAAAATCTAAGAGGCACATATTTTTTTTTATACGTGCTTTAATTCATGAAACAAACGGTATTTTTTTTTAGGCGAATATCGTCGGAAGTATAAAAAGTATAGAAACAAATTTTTTTACTTTATTCGCCTCGAAGGAAAAATATCATTCTTTTTTTCAAAGGGATGTTTCGTTAAACATGAGTTAGAGCACGTATAAAAAAATACGTATCTCTTAGATTTTCGTGTTTAACAACATATTTCATGAAGAAATCGATTCCGGACAGTTGTGAAATTTCCTTTGTTAGATTTATTTGTTTGAGTGTATTAATGGATCATTATTTAAAAAATAACTTGTGATTTTTGGTAATCATTTTGAAATCATTTTGATGACATAACTTGTGTTTTGCTTGGATAGAGTAACACATTTTTTTTATCTTCATACTACTTTTTCTTATTAAAATCATATATCTGAATCTCATCAAATTATCTGTGTCTTTGCATTATTCGGTATTTTTTACAGATAAATGGAAGCACTGCATTTTCGTGTTCAATCACAAGGGTGAACTTGTTTATCGCATGTGCAATAAAGGTTATGGAAAGTCAGAGTTGTGTTCGCCGGAAGGTATCACATTTCATCCGGAACGCAGTGTACTTTACATCGCTGATACTGGAAACAATCGTATCCAGATTCTTGAGAAGGATGGCACGTATTTGGATAGCATCGGACCCAAAAATAAAAACACAGGAGATACTGTCAAATTCCGCAAAACTGGTCCAAGCAAATTGAATCAACCGACTGATGTAGCTGTCACAATAATGCATGTCATCGTTGCCGATTCCGGTAATCACAAAATAAAGGTGCAATTATCATTAAAGTTGCCTTAACATAGTTTGAACATTTAGTGCTATAGCATACAAAGAAACTTAAGCAGAAGATATAAGCAGTAAGAAATTCAACATATTGAATTTGCTACTGATTTTATTATGGCCTTACGGTCTCAACTGTAATTAACCAATTCGCTTCTAGTTACGTTTTAAGATTTTTTTTGTGCCATAGCTCTCATCCTTTTTTGTTGTCGGATTAAACTTGTCCCGAAAACTTAAATTAAACGTACATGTAACAATAAAACTGCAATAAATATATGAAAAAATATTAAATATTATAAGTGTGCATGTGTACGTGTATGTACAGTTGATCATAGAAAGGCAACACTAATTATTTTAATGGATTTCGGAACTCACAAATATTACAAGAAAGGTCTGCGTCTAATAAGCTATATATGCATCATTCTAGGGTGCATTCGAGGAGCGCATTATTAGCACCATTTATATAATATTATGTTTGTCTCACGTTTAATAGATGATGAAAATAGAATGACACAAATAGCGTCTCTCTGAATGCAGCTCTAATATACATATCTATTTCGACAGTACACTTCTGGTACACAGTCCTTTTGACAAATGTTCTAACCCTCAGGTGTACTGAGTGTGCTGGAGAAGTAAGTATTTGAATAGATTTGTGTTACATTAAAAAAAAACATTTTTTAAAATTCTTTTTGCGGTTCTTCTCAGAATGGTTCAAATCTACTAAAAATAATTTCTGTCAAATTTTAACTTGAGCGGACAACATGAATGCGTGCCGGCTTGTTAAACGTTCGAGTTCCCTTATATTATACTATTAATATTCACTTTTAATTTGTTGCACATTTTTCTATTAAACATATTTTGCTAAATTAAAATATCTAAGGATTTTTGAGATCGCTGATTTTAAAATAAAATTTAAAGAATTACAAATAACGGATTTAATATGGCACTTAAATTTAAAAAATTAGCTATGATTTATTTACGTGCAAAATTTTATACGTAAGAATATTAAAAGATTATAAAGAATATTAAGAATATCAAGAATATAAAGAATTAAGAAATTTTATTTCATATCAAAATTCAAGCTATCCAGGTAGTAGGGATGTGCGAGTAGAAATACGGGTAATAATTGGGTAATAATCGGGTCAGATCAGGCGGGTCCCGAATGTTTAGGTACCTGAATGTCGGGATAAAATACTTGATTCAAGACCCGAAACTCTATTTGGGAATTCGGGATTCGATATACTATTTGGGACAAAATTTTTCTGACTGATCTTAAATTTTTAAGTTTAGAAGCGTGTCATATAATTAAATACAAATATAAAATCGTGTAGTTAAATGTAGTTAAATGAAAAAAGCAATGTGTGAATAATTGCTTTATTTTAAATTAAAGTACAACATTCCATTATAAAAATAATAAGGCTCAATAAATTTAAATAAATGAAAGAATAAAAGGCTACGAGCCTAAAAATCAAACAACAAAATAACAATCTATATTAAACGGTTAAAAAATAAAATAAACAATGTCATAAAATTAAAAAAAACGTGAAATATAATTTAATAATCAGTAAGTGAACAAGAACAAACGTTTCGATCCCTGTTGGATCATTTTCAAGTGAAGACAAGATAAAAATGAATATAACGTAGATAAAATATATATAAATTAAATAAAATTCGCATATGGACGCAATATCAACTATAAAACTCACTTCAAATTGAGAGAAAACCAAATAAACGATTGTAATTGACATCAATGTGTTCCTCCGAACTGTGCGTGTGCAAAAAGACGAACATGTTTCTGTTAGCAAGTACAAATTGTAATAATAAATTAACAAACGGAATAAATAAAAATAATAAGAGAAGTACAATCGAGTCGCAAATAATGAATAAGAAAAGGTACAAACAAGATCGCAATTAATAAAATTAAATTTATAGAAAGAGGCGAAAGTTACAATATTTTTGATATTATGAGAACATGTACAAAAAAATTACTAATGTTGATAGAGAAAGAGTAAAAAACCGTTATTCGTTGTATATGTATAATGAGTTAAGTACAATAAAATAAGAATAAATACCTTAGTATGTGTGTCAAAATGGTATATTATCAATTAGACAATGCGATGGGAAAAAATTGATCATCTCTCTAGGAAGCTAAGAGATAAAGTGAAATATGATATATAAAGACAGGAAGGTTGAAATAGAAAACTAAAAAAGAAGGGGAATACAAGAAGGAGAAAATAAAGTAGAGGGGAGAGAAAGTAGAGAGAGAAAAAGATAGATAAAGAAAGGAAAGCAATTAAAAAAGAGAAAGAGATTGAATGATCTGTGAATAGGTTTCAGGTAAAGATTCGGTGTCATTTTCGTTTATTTGGTTTTCTCTCAATTTGGAGCGAATTTTATAGTTGATATTGCGTCCGTATGCGAATTTTATTTAATTTATATATATTTTATCTACGTTATATTCATTTTTATCTTGTCTTCACTTGAAAATGATCCAACAGGGATCGAAACGTTTGTTCTTGTTCACTTACTGATTATTAAATTATATTTCACGTTTTTTTTAATTTTATGACATTGTTTATTTTATTTTTTAACCGTTTAATGTAGATTGTTATTTCGTTGTTTGATTGTTAGGCTCGTAGCCCTTTATTCTTTCATTTATTTATAACATTTCGTTTTATGTTGACTTATTTTTATAAAATGCTGTCAAATGAAACTTTTATTTCGTTGTCTTTTTAAAGACATATTTTCACTATTTACATGTATCGAGTTATTACTACCTTCATCTCTCTCTTCCTCACAAATATGAGATATATTTCTATGTGTACATAGAGTTATATATAGATTGTGGCACATCGCTACTTGTAATTTACAGATTCAATCAAAGAATACACAGAACTGATATGACACATCGTATGATATTATTCAGTAGGTTGGAAACTATTGTTGCGAGTACATTGAGTATTGAATAGATTGAATTAAGTGTGAAATTAAAATATCTCATATTAGTGTAGAAGATGAAGATAATAACAACTCAATGCACACAAACAGTGAAAATGTGTCTTTACAAAGGCAACAACGAAATAAAAGTCTGGCAGAATTTTATAAAAATAAATCAGCATAAAACGAAATGTTCTATTCGTGATCAAGAATTTTGAACAAAATATGACAATATGAGTTGCCTTTCACAACATTTAACTTCATAAAAATATAATGAAAGAATAATTACAAATTTGATGATGGAACAACCGTCACACAGTAGCAATCGGAACATACAATATTTAATTAAAATTCAATGCGAGCGAAACTAACAGAAGCGATGGCATAAATGATGGATTTATTATAAGTATGGTACTTATAGTATAGTCAATGATATCGGATTTCGGTCATTACTCAATGTTGTTGAACCATGATATGAAATACCGTCACGTGCAACATTTTCAAGAAGTTTCTCGCATGTATGATGATTTACGACATTCAAAAATAAGTACAGATGTAGAAAAGGGTAATTAACTTTTTTTTATTTTCATCTATCATTTAAATTTATGTTTGTGGGATATATACATATACATATATATAATATACACCCCTAATATTTATATATATGTTTTGGAAAAACAGGTATTATACGCATTTACAACCGATGGTTTTTATATAAATCATAAAAACAAAAAATACATAAATATTTATTATACGTATATTATGAACATCTTACAAATGAATTTTTATTGTAGACACAATAACTTTCTAATATCTGGCGGAAAGAAGATTTGATATTATGGAAATAACTTTTTTTAGGAATCAATTTTAACGAGAACCACATTATTTATTCTAAAATGAAATTCATTCTAAAATTCATTCGTAAGATGTTCACAATGCAATAAATATTAATGTTTTTCTTGTTTTTATTTCCCGTACGATGTATGAACACACTTCTCGATCTGTAGAAAGCTACTTATCTTTAATGTTTCATTATATAACTATATTGCGTGTTTACGTCTTGTATCAATTGTAAATTTATGAATGTTCAGTTGTAAATTTATGGTTTATGAATACAACACGTAAACACGCGATGGAATTCGACATACGACATGTTACACAAATTAGTATTAGTGCAAAAATCTTTGAATGCCAGGTGGCGCCTCACCAGCGTCTCTCTAAGAGCGGCGTTAGTACAATAGTCTCTGTATCTTTCTTCACGAATGCCAAGACTGTTTCAAATATTTTCGCTTGTGACTGCAATTTCCTCCTCAATTTTACAACTGGTAAGTACATACTATTAATCTTGGAAGTACCTTTCTTTATTGTACATATGTACATAAAACTTCTAATTTTTACATTTCAGATATATAAACAGGATTCTTCACATTTTATGCATATTATAAAATGCCTACCAGGTGCAGTTTTCCAAGATGCACCCTTACTGAAAAAAAAATCACATCACAAAGTTAATTACATAATGAAATCATGTAATTAAGATAAGTAATTCACGTAACGAATTGTTCCCAATCAGTATGTGATTTTTTAAAATCACGTTATTTTAAAAATCACATGATATTAGAAATAATTTTATCCATCATGTGATTTTATAGTTATCGAATTTCAAAGAATTTAATGAAATAGAAGAAAAAAAACATCATCAAGTGACATTATTAATTATAATTTTTTTAAAATTATGTAATGATTTGAAACAATTATGTAATTTATTTGTTTTAATTACGTTATGATTTTGTTATACAATTTTGTGACGTAATTTTTTTCAGTAGGGACAAACTCTAATAAAGGGGAAAGACTCTAATAAAGAAAGATATTGCTACACAAGATTTACTCAAGATCTTAGATTGATATTAAATAAAATATTAATAGACTCACAATCTTAAAAATAAAAATATACAATAAATTCAAAGCTAATTAGAGTCAAATCCTTGATTCTAATTAGCCTTGAATTTATTGTTTATTTTTAATCGTAAATTAAAACAAAAATGTGTTGATGC